CATATTTACAAACGTATTTGAATCAGATTAAATTGAATGGGTGAACGAGTGGCGAATCGCTATGCGGAATGTTTTTATAAGAGTTTGGGGCAGGAAATCGTTGGTCATAGTAAGCTGATTGATAAGGAAATCGAAACGTGCAACACACTTCTGTTAGTGCTTACAAATGTTATGCACATTTGAAATTCATGCATCCATCCTGTAAGCATATATTAACATGAAATTCAACTACTATTTATGATCATCTCAAGCGTGTGAACGCTGTCCTGTCAAAAGAGTCGGATAGTAACTCGCAAGAGATAGGAATCGCTTTCTCGAGCGGTTGAAATTTTCAGCGGTCGATCTACAGTCGAATACTTTTGATCAAGGAATCTATGTTATCAAACTGATCCCTTAGTATTCAATATTAATAACAATGAATGCTAACAATGTCAATGCTCACATGATTGCTCATAAATAGCTAGTTATTCGTCATGCCCTCAAAATGCATCAGTCAAAACTAACAATCCAAATGGAATTTCCGGGAATATGGATTGGATTTGCAAAGTAGTGGAAATACACAGATGATCGTGCATTTTAGTTGGAGTTTTAGTGTTTTAAGCTTCATGAAGGCAGATTTCATGAAGACGACACTTCTCAACATGCACAGTAGTGTTGAATCGCTAATGAAGTGTGTGTGCATTTAAGGAAATGCCTCTCAAGCGAAGCACCATATGCGGATTTGGTGAATGCACCGACTTCAGAAGCACTGCTAAGACGATTACTCAAAACTCGTCTGTGCAATACGTAAGTGAAACGCGATGAGTAAACATTAAATAAGTGAAAATTTAACCGAAAATGCACAATCGCACTTCAACTCTTTACTATTTTGAAATCGCTTTCAAATTTCTCAGGAATCGCCATCGCGCTTTTAATTTGCAGTAATTATTTCAAATCAAGGCTTACGATTAGTCTTTTCACGTTATCGAATATCGTTTTGTACAACTTTGCATGATTGAAGCGTGATGAAATTCATTGCTTAATTCGTACAATATCGATAAGACCGCAATTATTTATTCGAGCGATTTCCAACTTATTTGGTGATGAAATTGTTCTAATTTCGAATTAAATCTGCAGCAGTTGAAAGCTTTCCGCAAATTAGTTCAGCT